CGCGCCCTGGGCCAAAGGCAGGCGCCAAACCGCTGCGCCACCCAGGGATCCCTGGTTAAGACTTCTAATACTGTGTTGAATAGAATTATTGAGAGTGAGCATCCTTACATTCTTCCTGATCTTAGAGAAAAAAACCTTTTGCCTTTTCACCACCAAGGATAATATTAGAGAGGTGATAGCTAACTCTCATTGTTGAGAGATTTTTTTTTTAACCATGAAAGGGTGTTGAATTTTGTTAAATGCTTTTTCTACATCTCTTGGGATAGTCACATGATTTTTAACTTTTATTCTGTTAATGCTGTGTGTCACATTGATTTATTTGTAAATTTGAACCATCCTTAGGATTTGAAGCATCCTAAGAATAAATCCAACTTGACCATAATGTATGATCCTTTTTTTTTTATCCTTTTAATACATTGTTAAATTGGTTTGCTGGTTTGCTGGTTTTGCATCTATGTTCATTAAGGATATTGGTCTGAAATTTCATATTCTTGTAGTGCCTTCATCTAGCTTTGGTATCAGGGTAATTATGGCCTCATAAAATGAGTTTGTAAGTGTTCCCTCCTCTTCAATTTTTTTTTGGAAAAGTCTGAGAAGGATTGGTATTAAATATTCGTTAAATGTTTTGTAGAATTCACAAGTGAAGCCATCTGGTCCTGGGCTTTTCTTTGTTGGAAGGTTTTAGATTACTGATTTAGTGTTTGTACTTTTTATTGGTCTGTTAAGATTTTCTATTTCTTAATGATTCAGTCTTGGTAGGTCATATGTTTCTAGAAATTTATCCATTCCTTCTAGATTGTCTGCTTTGGTGCCATGTAATTGTTCATAGTGGTCTCTTATGACCACTTGTATTTCTGCACCTCTTCTTACATTTGTGATTTTATTCAAGCCTTCTTTCTTTTTTCTTAGTTTGGCTAAAGATTTGACAATTGTGCTTATCTTTGAAAAAAGAAACAACTCTTAGTTTCATTGATCTTTTCTATCATTTTTCTAATTTCTGCTTCATTTATTTCTGCTCTAAAATTATTATTTCCTTCCTAATGGTAACTTTGGGCTTAATTTGTTATTTTTCTAGTTTCTTGAGGTATAAAGCTAGGTTGCTTATTTGAGATCTTTCTTTTTTTCTCTTTTTTAAATAAATTTATTTTTTATTGGTGTTCAATTTGCCAACATCTAGAATAACCCAGTGCTCATCCCGTCAAGTGCCCACCTTAGTGCCCGCCACCCAGTCACCTCCACCCCCCGCCCACCTCCCCTTCCACCACCCCTAGTTCGTTTCCCAGAGTTAGGAGTCATTCATGTTCTGTCTCCCTTTCTGATATATCCCACTTATTTTTTCTCCTTTCCCCTTTATTCCCTTTCACTATTTTTTATATTCCCCAAATGAATGAGACCATATAATGTTTGTCCTTCTCCGATTGACTTATTTCACTCAGCATAATACCCTCCAGTTCCATCCACGTCGAAGCAAATGGTGGGTATTTGTCGTTTCTAATGGCTAAGTAATATTCCATTTCTTTTTGTCTCTTTTTTTAAGAAGACTTTATTCATGAGGCACACAGAGGTGGGGGGGCAGACACACAGGCAGTGGGAGAAACAGGCTCCATGCAGGGAGCCTGATGTGGAACTCGATCCCAGGGTCTCCAGGATCACACCCTGGGCTGAAGGCGGCGCTAAACTACTGAGCCACCCGGGCTGCCCTAACTTTCCTTTTAGAACTACTTTTGCTGCATTCCAGAAGTTTTGGTATATTGGTTTGCACTTTCAGTTGTCTCATGATATTTTTTTAATTTCTCTTTTGATTTCTTCTTTAACTCCTTGGTTGTTCAAAAATGGTTGCCTAATTTTCACATGTTTTTGAATCCAACCATGAGTCTAATCCATTTGAATAATTATGGGAGACAAATGTATAACTGCTTTGTTCCTTTATTAACAAATTTGCATTTTAAATAAACTTGTTTAATGTCTGTAGATTGGGGATATAATATTACATAGCTTAAAAGGTAGCTGTAAGTATTCAATGAGTTTACAACTTTTATAAGTTTTAGAAAACTCTAAGTACATAGGAAGCCCCATAAAAATGTTTGCCATATAAATTTAAGAAATGAAAAGAAAAAATTATAAATACTATCAGAAAGTCCTTTTATTTTCTACTACTAGCATTCCCATTGAAGTGACAGAATGTGAAAAGAAACTTTTGTGGTACAGTATTCCTCTCATTAGTCTGCTGTATGGTGTAGACTCGTGGCACATATTCATTTCTAGATCTTTTAAAAAATATTTATTTATATTTGAGAGAGAAGGGGAGAGAGAGAAAATGAGAACAGGCATATGGGGGAGGGGCAGAAGGAAAGGAAGAATCCCAAGCAGACTCCCTCCTGAGTTCAGAGCCCTACACAGACTCTGAGATCATGACCTGAGCCAAAATCAAGAGTGGAATACTCAACCAACTGAGCCACCCAGGCGCTCCACATTTCCATATCTTATACACACACTTTTATTTTCTAATTGTATAATGTGACCCAAAGAAATTAAATCCTAGGTTGAGAGTCTGGATCATTGCCCCCCCACTACCAATTTATTGCTTATTCTAGATAAATCATTCACCATCTTATTTCCTCTGATATACAATACCTTATCTCTATAAAGGATATGGGCCTATTCCACAAATATGCTTCTAATGTTCAAGGAAAGTGGTGAGCTAATTATTCCTTACCCTTGCAAATAATGATAAAATCAGATTCCCCGATTAGGTCTGTTGTTATTGTTGTTGTTTTTCTTAATGTTCAAGCCTTGTGAAATAGAACTTCTGATGATGGCTTAATAGAGGAGCCCTTTGAAGTTGGTCATGGGAGTAATTCCAGTAACGTTTCCAGAAGGTGGCATGGTTGGGAAATGAGGCATTCAGATTCACCAGAGAGAAGGGAAAATTTTTTTTCCTCCAAATGCAATAAAATTGTTCCTTGCTGATGCTGCCTCCAGCAGAGTGGATTCCTTTTTACCTCCCAGATGAGAGTGACAGGTGCACTACTGATCTAAGCTTTCAGTTAGGGATGTTTAGAAATCTACTCCTTTACCAACCCAGACCATAAATCCTAGTGACAGCTTTCTTAGAAAGAGGCTCATGAAGACTCCAAGTCCAGGTTGGCTTGGGTGACTCTGGCAGAGCAGAAGCAGCCTGAGAAAAGGGGAGGGAGCACTGATTCTTTATCTCTCATCATGTTCTCTAGCGTCCCACGTTCCGCAAGAGAGTGTGATTTTGCTTCTGTGGAGTTCTTTGAGTAAATGGTTTGGGTATTTCTAAGTATTTACAGAGGCAAGCCAACCTGTCATGACTGTGCTGTCGTGTGACTCCAAATCCCTTTATGATTAATAGCAAGACAGTCTCAAGTTCTTCCTCCACGCAGGCCATAGGTAGCTCAATTCCCCTCTCCACGCCTCGTTTGCTTCATTAGGAGTGCTGTTACCTGCTCTTTGGATTATTATTATTATTATTTAAACTCACTTTGGTGAAAGTGATCATCCTCCCTTTTTGTGCCCCCATGTACACTGGACACAACTCAGTCCCTTTACTTTCTACTCAGTCTGCTAACTCGCTCTTCCATCTCTGCCTCCCACTAGGATGTGAACTCTTTCAGAAAAGGGACCATGTCTTCCTTATGTTTGTATCACTAGCACCTTGAATGTAATGAACATTCAAAAACGTTGTTAAATAAATAAATGAAGGAAAGAACAAATTAAAGAATAAAGAAATAGTGGAAAGGGTTAGACTAGATGTCTTCTGAGAGCTCCCCATGATAGGCTGAATCAATACCTCCTCATCCAAATTAAAACTGAATTTTTTTAAAATTTTTATTTATTTATGATAGTCAGAGAGAGAGAGAGAGAGAGAGAGAGAGAGAGAGAGAGAGGCAGAGACATAGGCAGAGGGAGAAGTAGGCTCCATGCACTGGGAGCCTGACGTGGGATTTGATCCCGCGTCTCCAGGATAGCGCCCTGGGCCAAAGGCAGGCGCCAAACCGCTGCGCCACCCAGGGATCCCTAAAACTGAATTTTGTATTGATTCAAGAATAGATAAAGAATGATTCAGAAGCACATAGGAAATTATAGGTGAATGCATTAAATTTCTTAGATTTCACAGGCTGCCTCCTCCCCACCCCCCAATTATCCCTGTCTCTGTCTCTTTTATCCTGTGGACTAAGATCTGCTTTTCTCCTTCCTGAAGCTGAGAGAAAAACTTGACATTGACAGGTTCTCCACCAGCCTATGTGTCTGTTTATTCTGAACAACAACAGGCAAACAGACAGACAAAACTTCCCAAAACCTTTCTAGCTCCTTAAAGACAGCTCGGGTACAGTGGTACAGTATTCCCTTGGTAAATGCAGCTCTTTTAAACTCACCTGCAACCTGCATCCTTTCCCCCATGCACAAAAGCCAATGATGTACCACAACCAGCAGATCAGAGCTATAGAATCCTGTCACTTAGAAATACCACCTATGGCTACCATTAGCATAAGTGACATATTTCTCAGCAACTTCAACCTCTTGTGGGAAGACTTAGGCCAGCTTTTGGAGTGCAGGCCTTCTGGGTAGTGTAGGCCTTCCCACATTCCACCTGCAACTACAACTTCTGCCAGTGGTTTGAAGGTTCTGGTTGCCCTGGTGACAATTAAATGGGAGTGGAACTATAATATTGTGAAGACCTTTACATTTTACATAAGGGCAGAAGAAAAAGCAACTTTGAAAACAATGTATACTTGAGTAGTACATTATCAAAGTTGCTTTTCTTAGGTACGTCAGGGACTATGTGAAAGTTGAGAGGTACAAATACTTAATTACAAAGACTTAGTAATGCAGGTGATTTTACTAAAAAGAGAGAGAGTGAGTGCAAGTGAGAGACAGAGACAGAGAGAAGAATGGGTGTAAAAGAGGAAATATGGAAATATAGAAGGACTATTGGTTTCTGTTAATGCTGTTTCTATCAAATAATTCCTTTAATGGTGCTTGCTTCAGCAGCACATATTCTAAAATTGGAACAATACAGAGAAGATTATCATGGCCCCTGTGCAAGGATGACATGCAATTTCATAAAGCATTCCATGTTTTTTTGCTTTGACATGGATGGAACTGGAGGGTATTATGCTGAGTGAAATAAGTCAATCAGAGAAAGACAATTATCATATGGTATCACTCATAGGTAGAATAGAAGAAATAGTAAAGGATACTAAAAGGGAAAGGAGGGAAACTGAGTGGGGAAAAATTAGAAAAGAAGACAAACCATGAGAAACTCCTAACTCTGGGAAACAAACAAAGTGTTGCAGAAGGGGAGGTGGGGGGCATGGGGTAACTGGGTAATGCACACTAAGGAGAGCACTTGATGGAATGAGCACTGGGTGTTATACTATATGTTGGCAAATTGAATTTAAATAAAATATATTTTTAAAATAATTCCTTTAATGAACCTAGAAAGGCAGGCCAAGGAGAATGGGATGAAGAAAGGCAGTGAAATTGAAAGCAGTGGTTTATAATGATGTGTAATGAACAACTAAGGCTTAGATCAAAGCCCAAACGGGGAAGCGTAGTTCAGATTTGGCTGTAAAAGTCAAAAGTCAAAGCACACATTAAGGGTGGCCCTCTCTGGCCAGTACCATCCCTCTGCAGGGCTCTTCATCTTTTCAGGAAACATATGCCACAGCAGCAAAATCTGATCACAAGGAGTCATTTTTTTTAAGATTTTATTCATTTATTCATGAGAGACACAGAGAGAGGCAGAGACAGAGGCAAAGGGAGAAGCAGACTTCCCTGCAGGGAGCCTGATGTGAGACTTGATCCCAGGACCCCGGGATCATGACCTGAGCCACAGCAGATGCTCAACCACTGAGCCACCCAGGCACCCCAGGAGCAATCATCCTTAAAGATGTATCTGTGTGTTCCTTTACTGCATAAGTGTCCAAGAAACTGAACTCCTGACGGTGTTACTGCATAATGACATAGAAAAACCCAAAGAAGGCAGCCTTGGGTTTGTAGCTTCCACGAACTCTATCTAACCAAAGTCAATTTCCAGATGCTTGCTCTCGCCAGACAAAGCATTATAGGAAGAGTATGGGAATCTGACAGCCTTCTGGAAAGGCATTGACAGTTCTTCTCCTCCTCTTTGTCCCACTCCTGCTGTGGCCTGTGCCTTGTGCAAGGGGGCTGTGTGCCTTGCCACCAAGAGTTGGCTGCATTTCAGTAGCAAAGAAGAAAGACACCACGGAACCCTGACTACTCCTTAATTCTCTTGAGTAGGATTTCTCCTGAATCCCATTATGTATTTTTCAGCATGGTTCTGTTGCTAAATCCTTGGGTAAAGCCCCTTTTAACACCATGGCCGCCCAGAATGAAAAGGTTGTTGAATGTTGCCAAATACATTTGATTCCTTGTCCTGTACTGAGTCAGTCATGATCTCTACTGCACAGTAGGAGCTGCACACAGACAGGTTCTTTACATGGGAGGGAGAGTTAGGGTAACTTACCTAACTTTTAAGATTCCTCAATCTAATTACTTGTCTTCATTAAGATGCTTCCTACATCAGCAGGACATTCAATTCATTCTTCATTTTGATCCTAAAGGCCTCCTCAGGGGACCGAGAAGGTGTTATTTAAGTGGGTGGGACCTAGAGTTTTCAAAATAAGGGACTCTTGCTGAGTGGCTGAAAGCTTGGTTGTAAGAAGATATGGTCAATGAAAATAAAATGATTCTTAAATCTTCAGGGAACAGGCTGGTCCTCTACCCTGTAATAACCTCTGCCTGCCTAAAAAGCAATGAGACTATTTTGATTCTGCAAAACTCTCAGCATTTACAATATCCAAGTGACTTTTATCTTTCGAAGATAGTCTCTCTGCTGCCAGTACTTCACATTTTGGAATTCCTCCTGGGCAAATGCCTCTCTAGCCAGTATCTGAGTCATAAAGAAGAGCACACTCATTCCTTTAGATGCACACCTAGGCATTGAATGAAAACAGTGTTAATTGGTTTGGTCCACCCACCCCCCATTGCTCATCAGACTTGGCTTTTGGAGATTATATGCCTTTTCCAAAATTGAAATCCACTCTCAAAAGACCAAACTTTTGCACACTGAGACTCAGAAGAACGGGTTTTGAAGGCAGTTCCCAAAGAAGACAGTCAAAATGTTGGAAGTCCCTGGATCCCACTGGAATAAGTATGTGGCCCAAAAGGGATACCACTTATTTCTATGTTTAAAATATGGAATATTATTTAAATGGTGGGGAAGGATAAAAACACTTAGTTTCAAGTGGATATAAAAACTAAGCTTTCTCATTTCTAAAGATAAAAATGGAGATAAAACAACTAAGTCCAAAGGGCTGTTATGATAAATAAATGAGAGAGATGGATACGTTTTATAGGCCCCAAGGTGGACATTCAAGAGTAAGACATCTGTGTGCATAGAAAGAAAAGTAAGCATAAGTATTTGCATATCTACACACTACATAAAATTAATGCTATTGTACTCTTGTCTTTTATCTATAAGGCAAACATGAGAAAGAGCTAAAGAGGATGGAAATGAAAGAGATGAATAGTTGAGCTTAGATGGATTAAAAGAACAGAAAGGTGAATGCAGATTTAACAGTAGAATAAGGTGGCTTGAATTTTACTAATGATTCACTTTTTCTTTCTTAATGCCAAATGACGCTATTTTAAAAAGGTTAAACCCTCTGAAGACAGGACTACATTTAAATACAATGAAAGAGGTATTCTCAGTAACTGCTAATGGTACCTAATTACTCCCAAATTGACTTAAGATTTATTCTTATTATTCTTATACTGGAATTTCAACACAAAACACATTTAATCAAAGGAAGCTAAATGAATGAATTGAGAACTTAATTTTAGTTCACTTGAACAAAATTTTCCTAGATGAGTTTCTTTTTCAGAAATATAATGCTTGATGCCACTCAAGACCCTTAAAGTTAAATGCAGAATTTATCACTGACCTTTGAGTGAATGATTAGTTTTAGTACTTCTCTTTTTCCTTTCAAAATTATATACTCAAAAGATCATGAGGATATTTCTCTAGTTTAACTTAACACTCAGTTATTGATGGCAGGTAAAAACTCAGTTAACTGGAACTCAACTGGAACTCTCACATTACCAGAATGTTGCTGTCATTAACTTTTACTCAGAAAGAAGCAGATAACAAAAAAGCAAATGAAAATCAGCCTATTTAGTTAACACATACTACCAAATCTCCTGGAAAGGAGGGTGTCTTAGTTTTACATTGAGCTCAGTTTCCTACAATTTTTCTCTGACAGTTACATATGGAAGCAGGGAAAGTAGTGAAGGTTTATGCAACACTTTCTTTGAGCTTGCCTCTGTCATCTGGCCCCAGCTCACATTTTACACTTATTCCTTCACATATTTACTGTTCTAGCCATTCTAAGCATCTGATATTATTAAAATCCTGACAACAACCCTATAAAAGATATCCTATGTTTTAGTTTTACAGATGAGAAAACTGAGGATTAGTGATGTTAAGTAACTTGTCCAAAGACATGAAGTTAAGCCACTTGTCCAAGGTCACATAGTTAGTAGTGCTAGGACTATTTGGATCCAGATCTTTTTGACACCAAAGCACATATTTGAATGATGACCCTAGAACATTGCAAATTCCTCAGCCAGCATAGGGATTTTCCATCGCATGCCTTAGTGTTTATGTCTTGAGTGGCCCATAAAAGTTGTTAGTTCATGTACATAAGAAATATTTTCAACCAGAAATGAAAAGGGGATTCCATTTAAACTTCAGTCAAGTGGAGCCTGAATGGCTCAGTGGTTGAGCATCTGCCTTCGGCTCAGGGCATGATCCTGGAGTTCCAGGATCGAGTCCTACATCGGACTCCTGAACCTGCTTCTCGCTCTGCCTGTGTCTCTGCCTCTTTCTCTGTGTCTCTCATGAATAAATAAATTAAAAAGAAATACTTTGTTGCTAAAAAATAAAGTGTTGGGAAAATTGGACAGCTAAATGCAAAAGAATGTAATTGGACCACTTTCTAAAAAAATAAATAAATAAACTTCAGTCAACTATGGTTTCTTCTATTTCAAAAATGCCAAGTTAAATGAAAAAAAAAAACTTCCATCAATTAACAGAATAAAGTTATTCATATGGAGTAGGTACTCAGATCGTAATGTAATAATGTCAGAAATTAATAACAAAATTCTCTTAAAACTTGATATGGAAATATTTAAATCCCCTTACAGAATTAATCAAGAAATGACATCAGCAAAAATGACAGAGTGGGAATCTGTGAAATGTTTTTCCTAAAAGCAATGAAAAAACTAGCAAGAACTTTGAGAATTAACTTTCTTAGAGCTCTGGATTGCTGAAAGCCTTGTGTTAATTTCCAGAGTTCTGTAAAAAGATATGCCATGCAAATGGTAACCAAAAGTGAGTTAGAATGGCTATCCTAATATCAGACAAAATGGACTTTAACACAAAAATTATTACTGGAGAAAAAGAGGGACATTTCATGATGATATATGGGCTCATCTCTCAATAAGATATAATCATTATAAACATATAGGCTGATAAAAACAGAGGCCTAAGATACATAAAGCCAAACTGACAGAACTGAAGGAATAGTTCAATAATAGTTGGAGACTTCAGTGCCCCTCCTGCAATCATGGACATAACAACTAGGATAGATCAATAGAACAATAATGTTCAACAAGCAAGTAGGGGAGGAACAGCACTGTAAACCATCTGGACCTACAGATATCTATAGAACATGCCACCCAATTACAACAGAATATATATTCTTCTCAAGAACACAGGGAACATTCTCCAGGATATATGATATGCTACACCATAAAACAAGTCTCAGTAAATTAAAAAAAAGGTTGAAATCACACAAAATACATTCTCCAAAAAAATGAATTAAAGTAGAAAACAATAATAGAACAGCATTTGGGAAAACCACAAATATATGAAAAATAAATAATTCACAGTATAAATAATGGGTCCAAGAAGAAATTACAAACCAAAATATTTTTGAGATGAATGTAAATGACAATGCAACAAGCAACAACTTATGGAATGCAGCAAAAGCTGAG